GTCAAAAGACCACAGGCCTGCGAGCATCCCATTGCTGCAGAAGCACTGGTTTGGCCTCTTTACTGCTTTCTGGGTTACAAATTAATCTTCCAAGTTGTTGGGTTTTTTTTTTTTTTATGCAGTGGTTTCTTGGATGATATAATATTACTGTCTACTGTAAGTGAAAAGGCTATTATAAGTTGGTGGAAAATACTTTTGCTCCACTACTGCTTGAAAGATTGAATTTTTTTTCTTTGGCTTTATTTATTATTGTCAGACAAGCATAAGAATGAATTTATATATGTAACTTCATGTCTGCAGCATGCAGAGACTTGTAGAACACAGATATCCCCTTCAGCTAGCTTGAAGCCTGCTAAGATATCCTCCTCACAGTGCAGCTCTATTCAGATACACTGGCTCACAGCCTGGAAGAATTAAAACTTTGCTAGCATAGGAGTGTACAGAACAGTCTGTGAGGACACAGCTGTATTGCTTACACTGCTTACCCAGCTCCAACCCAGGAACTTTTGCACTGTAATCCACTCCACATAACTGGTACAGCCCTCAAGTTTCATTGTCAGATGGATTTTTCTCAAGGCAAAGGTAAATGGAGGTGTACAGACCCACAGCCCACGGCGTCCCTGTGCTCTTTGTGAGATGGGGGCTCACATGAATGTGTGCAGTTTCCCAAGTAGCAGGTTGATACAAGGCAAGTGCATGCTAATAGGAAAAGCTAAACTTCTTTCCCTTCACACAGTAAGTTAAAGTATGAAATCATTTTATCTTTGGTAGCCTTAGGACACTGTGGATGAGGGACAGCCTGGTTTGTTGTTTTTGTTTTGTGTTTGTTGTTGTTTTTTTCTTTTTTTTTTTTTTAATTTTGGAGAAAGTATTGCCACTATCTCATACAGCCACAGTAAATAATGTAGGTGGAATCATGGTCCACCAAATTTAGGTGGTAGCAAACATGAATTAATACCTGAAAAAAAAATTCAAAAGAAAAAGGCAAAATGAAACTGAGGGAGGAAGATATTTTTTCCTTTTTTGTATTCCTAAAGAATTTCTTTCAGCATATTTCCCTTTAAGATTAAGAAAATGTATTCTCAAGAAATGAAGTATTTTGTCATAAATTTAATTCTATTACTTCTGCCCTTTGGCCAGACATTCAAATCAATCTGCCCCTTGGTGGATAAGTTGCACAGTATTTATCTGTGCCTTATGATGTATGTATCTCATCCTGTCCCTTTTTTAAATTACTTTTTTGTTAAACAAAACATATAGTTCATAGACTTAGAGAGCATTTGCAGGGTGTCATTTAATGTGCCCTTCTGTGAACTTTCATATAGAAAATGTCAGTTACTTACATTGCTAAACCATACAAGACATCACCCTAACAATTCCATCTTCAGAAAGGTTAGTGTATATAAGGCGGTTGATAATGTGTGAATTATTGAGATAACTTATTTGAAAGGTGGTGAATGGGAGGAAAATCTTGTGAGGTGGAGAAATAAGATCATTTTTAATTGAGAGTTTTTGCAATTCAGAGTATTTTTTAAAAATGTTGTATTACTAACATGAGATTATTGAGTACTATTTTATCTGATGAAAAAATTGTTCATGATAATAAATAAAAGAAGGTAGATTTAGGCTAGATGAAAAGAAAATGTCTTCTACAGTGGGGGTGGTGAGGCACAGGCACAGGTTCCCCATAGAGGTGGTGGATGCCCTGTCCCTGGAGATGCTCAAGGTCAGGCTGGACGGGGCTCTGAGCACCTGATGGAGATGTAGGTGTCCCTGTTCATTGCAGGGGGTTGGAGCAGACAACCTTTAAAAGTCCCTTCCAACTCCAAGGATTCTGTGATTGTGTAATAGGGAAGTGCCTGCTAACAATTACATATGTACTGCAGTATTATTTCCTAGTTCTGCACATCTTATTTGATGTCTTTTTATTTGCTAAGTTGATTGGTTGTGGGTGTTCTTTTTTTTTTTAATTACTGTCAGTTTAATCAATGTAGAAATTAATTTTCTTTTTTACATTTTTCCTGCTCCCCATTTTTCTGTTCTTCATGATGTTAGCAGGGTCTCCAAAGGCACCAACTAGGGAATTGTACTTTTCATTGGCCATGGGTTGTCCCATCTAACTTTGAAATAAGTCAGACTAGCAGTATCCATGTTCAGAAGGCTAGAGTGCAGAAAACCTTCCTTATTAATAATGTAAGATGTAAATTGTCACTGAACCACATGTAACAGATGTTTTCCTCCTGTCTCTTCCTGTAAAAAATAGATATTTTTTCCCCCATGCCACTTAGCAGTCTCAGAGTCTAGCATAATTATCCATTGCTGCATTTTTATTTGTATTTTATCTTGTGTATTTCTGTTTGCAGATACATTTTTGGTGCTGTGTTTTATCTGAGATGGCAAACAGCAAGGAACAGTTGTTTTTTTTTCTTTGTTACCCACGTTGAGGATTGCCATACAGCTGTGAGAGCCCTTTAATTAAGTCAGACTGAGCTACATCAGATGGGCTGGTAACTGAGTGCCCTGTGAAGACAGCTGAGCTGTTGATGCTGAGCTTTAATTAGAACTTTTAATATTTCATCCCTGCTGCCCGAAGTGTGACCTGTCAAGCTGCTGAGCGGCTGCCCCTTCTTGACAGAGGTGCAGCTCTGAGCCCAGGGCCAATTCTCACATATAATGCAATTTGTGTACAATCACTTGGTGTTTCTCTTGCATTTTCTTTCAAGACGATCTTACCTGAAAAAGCATAGGAAATCATAGATTTGTTAACATTAAAGACTATTTGGACTTGTTAAATAGCCCATGAAAAGCCACCCCACATCACCTGACCCTGATCTTTCACAAGTAGTTTGAGAGAGTCTAACAGCTATGCTTTCCCTAAGATTTGGTTTATTAGTAAATCTTTAGAAGCAAAACAGGCGACTGGATGCAGGAAAAAGATCTCAATTAAAACATAGTTACTTTAGATGAATTTAGCTGATTCCATGTTCTTCACTGTCTGAATGGGGAATTTCGTCCTTTTCCTTTCATGTTTCCCTGCCTTTATCCCCAGACAGTCCTCCGAACATCATTAGGAAGTATTACTTTTCAGAAAGGGTGGTCAGGCACTGGAATGGACTGCCCAGGGATGTGGTGGAGTCACCAACCCTGAGGGTGTTCAAGGAAAGGCTGGATGTTGTGTTGAGGGACATGGTTTAATGGGAGCTATTGGGAATAGGTGAACAGTTGGACTGGATGATTTTTTAGGTCTTTTCCAACCTTGGTGATTCTGTGATTCTATGATTCTATAAAGGAGCATGAAGTGGTAGGGAATGGAGATGAGGTGTGTGTGAGTCATCTGCTTTGTGTTATCCTCTTCAGTTCCTTCTGGGCAGTATCATTAAAATTAATTACACAATGCAAAGACCTGTTGGCACTAGGAAGTAAATACATATGACTAGTAGATTTGCACATCCAGACCTTGCCATCAAGTATGTAGATAGTATTCATTAAAAACAGCAATTTTTTTTTCAGGCTAAATTCTACTTGTTGCTCTCCTCTGGTGTGTACAGTTTCTGCATGTCTCTGAATTTATGCTTCAGCTCTGTCTCAGTCCCCAGTTGGTCTACTGTCAATGCAGAGACACCAGGGATCTGTTATGATTCACAGCAGTGAGAGCTGGAATGATGGCTGACCCTTTAACCAAAAATCCACACCAGAGATCCAGGACACATACTTCAACATGTTGTAGTACATGGTCATGGAATCATCTGTTTGAGATGGAAGGGACTCTTAAAGGTCACCTGGTCCAATCCAAACTTTATTCATATATCCAATCTGAATCTTCCATCTTTTAGTTTGAAACCATTTCCTCTTGTCCTTTCACAACAGACCCTGCTAAGGACTGAAGGAAAAATGAAGAATAGTTGGAATAACTGTGAGCGTATACAAACCCCATACATGCATTTGAACATATACAACAAAGAGAATCTCTTTGTTCAAATTGACATGTGGTAGGGAGTGAAATAACTTAGGATAGTAGAACTGCTTTGTCAAAAAGACAAAATCCTGCCTTCAGGTTGTGATCATAACAAAATGTTTTGTTTAGGATTAGATTACAGTCTATGTAATAGTAAATAATGTTTTTTCTTTTTTTTTTTTTTTAAGTACCAAATAAAGACAGTGCTTAAGGGGCACTTAGAATTTGTCCTCAAAACTAAATTTCTTCATCTACAAAAGATTGGTCAACAAGAACAGCACAGTTCTTGTGATTTTGAATTCCCCTTTGTGACCTTTGAAATTCTGAAACTGAGAACAGAAAACTTTCATGAATGCTCACTCTTACCAGTTTTTTCAGAATTTTTTTCTAATTACAATGTGGCATTACAATAATTGAACCATCTTGTATATTTTTTGTTTAATTTACTGAGTTATTTTATTTAAAAGTAATCAAGAAGTTAAAAGCTTTCACATTTCTTTATATCCTTTATATCTTCTTCATATTCTTTATATCCTTTATAACAGATGCTCTGATTACAAATGTAATTTAGTCAAAAATTCAAAGATTGAATTTTAAACAGAACAAAGTATCTTTTATATACAAAATATTTTTTATATTTTCTCAGTGTTATTTAAGAGATGACATTTCTGTTTTTTGCTTGAAGGTTTGCCTAAGTAACAAAAAATAAGAGTTATTCTCAGAAGTCTATTAAAATACAAAAAGGGAAATTGATTTCACTAATTTTCTTTATCCAACTGAATGCAAACAGTGCATACATCATTAACATCAAGTTTGAATTTTATCACTCTCTCTCTCTAATCTCTTTCTCTTGCTTTAATAATCTAATGAATTGCAAAATTTTTGCCTCTTTGAGCAAAACTTAACAATGTGAGATTTGCAACTCCCTACACCTTACGGGTTCTGTTTCTTTCTTGTTTTCCTGATGGTTTATACCTGGGATAACAAAAATTATTACGATGAAATACTGACTCAGTCATTTTTTTCTACCTTCTGTTCTCTCTAGAGCTACATCTATAATGATCCCGTAAGGTACTACTTGATGCAGAAACCCAAAGAAAGAGCAACTCCATTGGCCCAAACATCAACATCTCATCAACAGTATGCTGAAAATCTCCATGGGATGAACTTCAACCAGCCTCAGCCAGACAAGTTCTCAACGGAGTCAGAAGCGGGGCTTGACCAGAAAGCTCTGATGGCTGCACTGCATACGTACATCACTCAGAACTTGTCAGCACAAAGCAATGATAAAAGCTCTCACAGTAGGACTAAAGGGTCACACGTTTATGCTGATAGATACTCTTCTCAAGTTGGTCCTTTTGATGGAAGTTTTTCCAGAGGAAAAGCAGAAGATTTCAAAATGAATAAACTGTTCCAGCCACAGCCTGCCTCTGGAGTGCTGGGGCCAGCCCCCGAGATGCTGAATCATAAGTCTGCTTCCCAGAATGATCCAAAGGACCTGTTGAGGGTAGTGGATGGTAAAGTTGGTACTTATTTATTTTATCTTTTCTGAAGTTTCCTTCATGATCACTGAGCTTTTTTTTTTTTTCCTTTTTTTTTTTAATATAAATAGACATTGACATATATCTCCTACTATTGACATATTTCTATCTTTTTACCATAATACTCAGGGTAATAATGTTCACCATTCTAACGACTCTTTTCCTTCAAACACCTACCCACATTCTTCAGCCCACCTTCCATATGCGTGCAGATATACATGGCACTCAATAAACCATAGCATTTACGTAACTTATTATATTTTCAAAGCACTTTTCCAACAATAAGTAATTATGTGTGTATCTTTGCTGTTGCAACTGTTTTTATGTACCACACTATATATAGATACTATAGACATGCCTAGTTTTGTTGAATTTTTATTTACTTATCTAGAAATTCAAGGACAATGGGTAAAATTCAAAGTTAGACTCAGAAATTAACAGTGACATAAATTTTGGCACAGTACGCGTGGAGGGGAGAAGTCTCTCAATTATGCAGGCACACAGTAATACAAGAGTTAGACTTGATGATCCATATGGTCCTTTCCAATTCAGAATATCCTATGATTTTACATTCTATAGGATGGAATTAGAGCTCCATTTGGCTAGGCCATCTATTACAACTTGTTTGCTGTACTTTCTTTCTTCTTTTGCTAATGCAACTTAGCTGTGACTGGATCCTGATTTCTTCTGTATGTGATAGTTTGACAGATACTTAAAAGAACATTGAGTGCAACATCTCATAGGACACCATGATGCATTTTAAGTGCTGCTTTGTACTGCAAGGTGGATTGTCATCTTGTGGCAGGTAGAGTTTAGAAAATAATTTTTAGTCATTCAGTGTTTCTCCAAGCTAACTAATAATTGGTGTTATTCCAGTGGTTCACAGTGTCTGAAAAATGAAATAATTGATCCTTTACTATTGCCAAGCAGTTACATCTCTTACACTGCATTTACCACTATCCCAATAGATTTTCATTGTATACAAGTAGGTTTCTTTGAATCCCTTTTGTAGTTATTATCATCTATAAAGTTTAATGTTCTTAGATTTCTGATGTTTTTGGTTTTTTTTTTTTCCCTTTTTCTTTTTTTTGTTTTTATTTTGTAAAACAAAAACAAAAGCAACAACAACAACAAAAAAAGCCAGAACACATGAAAACATCAAAGATGCGGCAGGGAAAGATAATGCTTGCAATCTAAAGGATGCTCAGAAGTGAAAGCATTCTTGGTATGGTGCCCAGAGATAATAGGTTTCAAAGAACGAACTATAATGTAAAATCAAATCCAGGTGGCACTGTAAGTCTCTTGCACAGGTTAGACAATTTTGTTGCTAGACTCAAAACAAACTAGGCACATGCTGGTTTCATTATCCTCCAGCTGTTCCACTTCACCTTTCCTAGTAGGTGCCAAGTGGGAAAAAAATGCTTAACACTTAGAGGGAATAACATGTTTCACAATTCATTGGGTTGTGCTGCTTTGACTTCGCATACATAACGTGCCTTGTAGGAGCTTCTCCCATTGCATTAGGTTTTAAATGTTTGTTAGACATAAAATTATGATCATTTGAGTAGGAAGTAATATGTATTCCTTTGTATTTTTGAGCCACTTAACAGTATTATAAGGAAGAGGTGAGGACAGATACAAGTATATTCACAGCCTAAAGTGCTGTCTGTTAGAATGATGATGGTTTGGATTCAGATTTGTCCAGATAATATCTTTTTCTGCTTTTAACATATCTCCAGGCTCTCTGGTGCTTCAGGATTTCTGTATGGAGGTTTCACACTCTCTTGCATTTTCTAAACCATACAACTGTTCAAAAACTGAGCAGGACAGTTGCTGCATGGGCTCAGTTCAGTGCTGCATCTTGTGCAGAATTAGACACAGCAATCTGTCTGGCAGAACAATCCAGAAGATACTGAGCAGATTAGCACTGAGAATTGTGGTGAAACAGTGGTAGGTGAATTAGCTAACAAGGCACCCTGAGGGAGAAACAGAAGAGAAGGAAATGTGGAATTATTTTTCATCAGATTTGAAAACAGTTACCTTTAGTAGAAGTATAATGTGTGTGGGTGCTGCTTTTGTAGTCACTGTGCAACCTGGGATTCATTAATCTGCATTCTGCACTGGCACTATTTAGAATTCTTCTGCTTAAAATTGTTGGTTCTAGTATACCCATTTTTTTTCTATGTTAAGTATCACAGAAGGTATCTCTCCACTGCTCTGCTCAAGTCACAAAATTAGTAATACGTATGTTTTTGTTTTTCCAAAAATAGCACATTTCCATATTTATAGAGCACAACTATTTGTGCATGTTCTCTGTCGTGCAAGGCTGTGCCCGCCAAGCTGGGTGACGCTCAGCTGCTGAGGACAGCTGATGTGTGTTGAACAGGACGGTGGGTTACAAAAGAACAGTCTGCCCTGTCGGACTGCTGGTGGCAAGGAGGAAGTGGCATGCTATGATTGCAACGCAGTTACTGCTCCTGCACCACTTGTTGAGCAAACTGACTGTAGCATTTGCCCCAGTGATGTATGGAGCATGGTTTATGTGGTGTGCAATAAAAGCCATTTTTCCCTTGTTAAGTTGTTATTGTTACTGAGTAAGGAGAGTTCAAACGGTGAAGCTGATATTAAAAATTATATCATCTGTGATATATGTGCTTTTAAGGTCATCACAGTTCTATAGTTAATATGAAAGGCAACTTGCCTTCTTCATTTCAGAAGATTAAGCTGAGGCAGAAGTCTGGTTTGCAGTACAGGCAATCTGAAGCATGGCCGAGCATTTCTGACTTCATTCCAAAAAGGCTGATGGAAGAATATAAAGGCTGTACAGAGACATGTGCATGCTCAAGCGGGTGCTCCTGAACTGCTGTGCCATTGCAGTAGCCCACTGCTTTTTGATTTTCTACAACAATATTTTCTGATTTTAGAAAATTCATAGTAATTCCTTTTAGTTGTCCAAAGATGCTTTTTAAGTAGATGCATTTATATTTGTGTGTATCAGCCATATCAAATTGCTTGCAAATGATTTACAAAAATGAACCAGTGCCATAATATGAAGTGGACACGGCACTTTAACACCATTTCAGTAAACTGGGAAGACTTTGTGCAGACCTCAGTTTCACCAGGCTGTTATAGACCTTTTGGTGACTCTTCCTCTCAATATACTGTAAGCATGATACTCCTCATACTTATTACCTTTGTTTGCTGCCTTCTGTCCTTTTTTTTTTTTTTTTTTGAGGTTATTGACGATTATCCTTTGGAATTGGACTGCAGAGATAATGCTTGGGTAAATTAATAAATATGAAGAACAGTAGGCCTGGAAAAATGGAATGGAATGGAAATGACAAAGCTGTATTGACTACATGTTGCTGACTAGCTCAGTGTTTGATTCTGACAGCTGGCTGCAAAAGAACTGACACAATTAAACCAAAATTCAGTAGGGCTACTTTAATAGAGCTCTTTTAATTATACATTACCTAAAATGTAATTCTGCTTTAAGATTTCTTTTCTGATATTAATGTAATGGCCAGTAACTAGCTCGCGTAAACTTAACAGGCAAAAATGCAGAAATAAGTTACTTTTCTGAGGTTTAAAACTTACTTTCATCTTGGAAACCCAGGGTTGCTGATTTTTCAAATTAGAATTCTAGCAACTTTAGACTTGATTCTGCTACTGAATTCCTGTATTTTGAACTAACTTATCTTAAATGAAAGAATATTTTATGCAACTTTTACTCAGTTGTTTTTATCCCTCTTCCATTTGTTAAAATTTATTTGAAGTGTCTCCTCATGTAAAAATTGTAGCATGTTAAACACTGAACTACTTCAAAAGTCTTATTCCTGTATTTGGAAAATAGATAATTGTTCAGAATTCTAAGCAACATTAGCATTTATTGGACTTGAAACCCAAAAGAATCTAAATTTTTAAAAAATAGACCTGAGCAAGTAGGCATGTTTTCGAAACTTCTACATAAACCTAATTTCTGGGTAAGATGTTTCCTAGCAGCTTGAAAATCACAATAGCAGAATAGCATTTTTTTCAGTGTTATGACTAGAATCAGGCATCCTAAGCCTAGGGAAAATAAATGTAGGTTCTGTTCTGAAGATGAAGAAATTGAAAATGCTTCAAAACTATTGATGGGAGGTATGCAAGTGACCCTAAATCACTGAATACTATTCACTATCACTGAATAGTAAGGAAATTCATCTGGATTGTGGGAAACTCATGTACAGTTCTACAATCTGCTATTCCTCTTTTTGCCTAGAAGGGAATGACATTGATCAATGATGTGTTCTTAGAAAAAGTTCTTAGTTTGCTTTTGTTCTTAAAAATGATTTGCTCTTCTCATAGACAATTTCCATGACCATTCCACCTTTACAAAGGGGCTCAGAAATACAGAGGTGGATCCCACATCTGCAGTAAAAATGATTCTAAATATTATTCTAGAGGCATTCAAAAAAACTTCAAAATTTCATAGATTATTAACTGCTCTACTTCATGGGTTATTCATACCAATGGAGAAATGGATAAAAGCTCTTGAAAAAAATACTCACTGAAATCATTGTAGTTTTCATTCTGTTGTAGATGCACAGATGTCAGGTAGCCAGTCTGTTCCAAGAATAATTTTTCCTACTGCATTGTACTTGCAGTATGTTTTTATGCTATTACTTGAAAAGTTTTAGTTTTGATTTTGAACTGACGTATATTCTGTCTCTTCTTGGCTGACTTTATTACTTTTGCTTCAATAATTCAGGTTTTTCTGTCATGTTATGTTATTGGTCGATCATTCTATAAAACATAAGAACAGAAGTGATACCAAAGCAGCAACAACACTTGTGTAGTAACCTGGCAGCGCTGGTATTTCTTATAGCTTAATTTTCTTTGTGTAACACCCTCTCCTAACGGCTGTCTTCTAAATAGCTGTTGTGATTCCCAGGAAAGTTTCTTGAATTCAGTTTGATCATGGACTGGAGAACTTGGCATAGAGGGTGGGATTTTGTTTTCAACTCTCTCACTTAACATTTTTCCTGTTCCTGTTTTAACACTGTGGGATCAAAAAGAAAATGACAGAAATGTCCAATGTCTTGGTCTCTTTTCCCAATGACAAACAATCCTTGGTTCATGTCCCGCAAAATCACAGGTGTTCTGCCTTTTCCCTAGTGCAGAAAAGTATCTTGCTACTACTTCTTACCTAATGCTGTGAGAAACAAAACCTTTTATTTTGACTTTCTTCTTTGAGTGTTTTAATCTTTGTCAGAGTGGGCATTAGGAAAAATATCTTTACTGTGAAGGTGCTCAAAGACTGGTACAGATTTCCTAGGTTTGATGCCCCAGACCCATTAGTGTGGAAGAGACATTTGGATAATACTCTCAGTAACATGCTTTATCTTTTGATCAGCCTTGAGGTGGTAAGGTATTTGGCGATGTTGCTAGAAATTGTTGGATGTTGCCTTTAGACTGCTTATGTAGAAATTTATATATTCAGCAGTCTACAACTTGATGTTCTTACACTAGTGAAAGGTTTCTTGCATACATATATGTGTTAAATTTCTGAAGAACATGACTAAGCAGAACAGAGGCATGATTAGAAATGGTTTTGGAGATGCCAGAGGAAGCCCTTACTTCAGTGTTTCTTTCTCCAATAGAGATTAGGCTGAATTTTGCAGTTACATGGAGTGGAACTAAATAATATATTCAATCAGAAACCTTTCCTGAATAGCTGCTACACTACATCTTCCAGTTCATCTTTAATATCCACTGTCCTTGAATCTTCTCATCTTCGAAACCATTTTCACATCAATGTTGGCTTTGGTCTTGGGTTGTTGTTTTTTTTGTCGTTGCTGTTGTTGGTTTTGGTTTGTTTGTTTGCTTCCTAAATATATGTTCATTTGATTTTCTTGGTCTGGACTGTCAGCTTAACATTTATTTCCTTAATATGATTTTTAAGACATTTTCCCCATGCTGTTCATAGCTGACGAACCAAAACAGTGTTTGGTGAAGTTCATTTTTGTCAAAACACATACCTTCCAACCATTATGATTTAGAAGATTTGTTCATTACATGTGCATGTATGAAGTATTTCTAGTTGGAGTGGAGCTTTTCGATTGAATGACAAAATATCTGACTGCTGCTTTTCCAAGATTGTATACAGTTGCAGAAACCAAATTGACAAAGAAACGTGACGTCTAATAAATACTATTGTATTTGCTGTATTTAGGTACTGCTTTTTGGTGCAGCTTAAAAAAAATTGAGCTGCATTAATACTTCAGTTTCTGAGTACTTTTGGACTAGGAAATGGTGCTGAGTTTGTAAAGAAATGAAAAGTTTATATTCATCTCTGTAGGACAATTTGTTAGGTTGTACTGGCATAGATTCACCTTGTCATAAACTGTAACATCCATTTTTAATACCACATTTTTTCTGAGGGCATCAGCTAACTTCAGTTTATGTATTGGCTTCCTGAATTTGTATACACTTCTGTAAAACAAGACAGTCTTCAAAAAGGATAAGATATCTTTCAGGAAATACTAAAGATATTTCTGATACAAGCACATATACTTACTGAAAACAGCTTATGCTTATGTTGTTTTGTGATCCAGAAACACTTATTAGAGGTGTACTGAAGGACCTAGAGAAACACCAGGTGAATGTGGAGAATCTCAGCTCAACTGAACTGGATGAGATCGCTGATACTATTGCTAATGCAATTCAGACTGCTGGCATTCAGGAAAAAACAGAAAATGGTGCTGGAAAAACTCGAGAAGAAAAAGCGGAAGCAAAAATTAAGAAAGGAGATGCTCAAGGAAAGGCAGAAATTCATACTGGATTAATGGAAAACCGTGTTAACATAGCAGGTATTGATTGTAAGAATTAAGTACAGTGAAGGACAGCCAGCCTCATTTGCCTTTGTTTTACATTAGTGCCAGCCTTTTTTTTAAATTGGTTTTAAGGAAGACAAAGGGGGAAAGTTTTTGTATTTTTTCCTCACAGGCTGCAAAGCTTTAGCTTTGTTGTTTTCTTTTTGTGATAGATACTTTATTTACCTAAACTACATTTGTTTGTGAACACTTGATCTTCAAGCTTCACAAACAGTATAAACCTACACACTTGGTTATATTGAAAAACAAATTGCTTAATGCTGCGTGGTCTAATTTCCCATTCTTTAAAATGAGGTGTTTAAGCAAAAGGATAATGAAAGATGATTGTATTCCAAGAATGTGTTTCAAAATATGTGTAGTAAATAATTGAATTTTACAGGTAATCATTCCGTAATGTACCACAATTGCTTGGCAAAAGAAAGTCTTAGGTACATGTAGAAAACAACTTGTACCTTTACATGCTCAAGGAACATAGAGAGTTACTGTGATTATTTGCTTCATTCTGGACATTTATTTCCATGGTGATGCAGATTTAGGAGCTACAGTATATAGCATTAATAAGCTGATATCACAGCAGAATTTAAACTTCCATTTACACATTCTTTACCTCAAGAGTGTTATGACATCTAGTTCATGAAAATACAAATGACATCAGTGATTTTAAATTATTGTCTTCTTTTCCTCCCCAAAGTACGAAGATGATTACAGTGATGCTATACTGAAAGCCTCACTAGTGAGAGATGTTCTGGTTATTTTAATTGCCACTTCTACAAAAGATGAAAATGAGCAGTTTTGAGGATTTGTGCTGGGAGAAATGAATAAGTCTTCATTCATAAACCAAACACCCAACATTGATTGAGGTTAATGAAGTGACTGCATATCATCATTGTAGTTAAACTGTAACATGATTTTGGTAGACAATATAAAAAAAAAACTTTTTTTCTTTTTTTTAATTTTTTTCTTTTCCACTAAAATGTGTGAAGGGCTTCATTTTCTTTAATGTAAATGCCCATTCAGCCAGTTAGAATAATTTTTGATTTTTTCTTAGATATCAATAAACTGATATGAAGATCAGACACTTAATTAGCAAAATAACACTATTAGATTGGCTCTTGAAGTACTCTGTCTATTGATCTTGCATTAATTTGCTGTCAAACTGGGGTTAGAATAACAATACTGAATTATACAGTGCTCTTTAGTCTGCCCTTTCAGCTTTGATGTCTTAATGTTTAAATTGCATGAAAAGGCCACCAGCACAAACAAAGAAGCCTTAAAGCAGTGTTTGTTTCACGTGTGATGTTTTCCCTTCATAACTGTGTATTTATGCTTTTCACATCCCACAGACAATGGAATGCATGAAGCCAGTGCCAGAACTGACCAAGAGGTACAGTACCAGTATTTTAACAAAACATTCCATCCCAGAATATCAGTTTTTTATAAAGTGAAGGTCAGAACCACATTTTTGAATCATAAAAATTGTTTTGTGTCTTGTGCAGGTATAGTTCATAATCACAGCATAAGAAATTTTCTGTTGATGCATTGGAATTTTAAATGGACATTTATCTAAACCTTATCTAAGATGGGTTCCAAAATAGAAGGTCGGGTCCTTTTTTTTTTTTTTGCCTTTCTTTCACCTGTAAACAGTCAGAATTCGTAACAGATTCCAAAGCCCAGATAAATTCAGGCTCTTTCCCTGGTATGTGAATTTGGAGCACTGAGGTGTTCTACTGAAAATACTTTGCTTTCCTCTGCCATATGGCTTCTGGTTCTGGGGAAAGTAAGCATCATTACTGAGATACCTGGTTTTGAGAAACAGTTGAGTAAAACATGCTCCCTCTGAGGATAATATATGTGGGAGGATTCAGAATAGTTTCTCCTTGCATGGGATCTGCTGTTCCTCAGTTTTTCACTTTACAATTAACTGTTCCAAATTGTTTAATATCAGAGATGATTCAAAAGTTTTAGGCATTAAAACTCTTCCCAAGGTGGTAACATCAGATTTTGGATTCTAATCCAAATAACTTTACTAATATTCCTCATGAACTTTGAATCATACCCTGTAGAATTGTCCTATATTCATCCACTTATTAGGACTATTTATCATTCTTTTTGTGGGTTTCATGGAGCAAAATGTACTCAAGGAAATATTTTTTAAAAACTGCAGTGAAACTTTTCCTGCTATATGCTCTGTCAAAAAGCTGCAACAGCTGGAGTAAAAAATGAGTAAATCCTTTTCTGTTTGCAGTAAAATCTCTTCAATAGCTGTCCATCTACCAAGCAAGGCAAACACACAGGTACAATTTGTCAGTAGTTCTAACCACCCACATGAAATTCTTCAGGGGGATAGAGCGGTGCATTCATGATTGGTTTATAGAAGATCCCATGAATGAATTTATTGGTGACAGTTTGAATAGAGGAGGTGAAAAAAATGTATTTGACACAGAGCACGAAGTGCCCATAAGCCATCATCTCCTTCCAAGTCCTTGGCTGCAGTAAATTTTTATATAATGAATCCAACTAATGAGTTATTCCAGGGAATTGTTTTGACGTTTGCTCATTTGCTTTTGTTTCAGTTTATTAGACAGATTTTCTCTGAGTAAGGATACTGTGGTATTTGAATAAGAATATAACTTTAAAATACAAAAATCTTTCACCCATGTTAAATCTATTGAAAGGTGCAGTGGCATAATTTAATGTTCATTTATTATTAATGAATAAATATTTTATTCCTGCATAGTCTTGAAGCATGCAGAAATAAATAAAATGACCGTAGTCTATGAATACTCTAACATATCAATGTAAACTTGAAGGAAAATATCCAGGTTTTTCCATTGTAACACATTTAGTTTTACAAATAATAATATTCTTTTAATACAGGAGAACACTGCAAAATTAATTAACTTCTTGAAAAATAATGCATTACCTGGAAATATGCCTAAAGACCTAATACATGAAGAATCTACTAAGTCAGAAACCAAGAAATCTGAGGACACTGACTCTTCTTCCTCAGAAGAAATAAATGCTGGTGTAGAAAATGTAAAAAGTGAGACTTTCTCCAGGGAGCTGACAGCTGCAAAGAGCACTGAATCTGACTCCAAAGACCCAAGTGAGACCCGCTACTGGATGAAGAATGCTTTAATGAAGGATGGAAACTCCTACGAACAGCCTGAGAAAAATGCAGGACAAGGCATAGAGCTTGAAGTGAAGTCTGCAGAGGAGAAAGAATATGGCTACATTGTGACAGTGAAAGAGTAAGTATAGCAGCCAATTTGAATGACTTTTTAAATGTATAAAAGATGAAGTCATTGCACCTAATGAAATATGAATGCACAAGAGGAAAATGCCACAGGCTTGATTTTTAATACATCTGAAACTGTTTGCTGCTGGTTCAGTACTTTGATGAAAATATAAGAAAACAGTTCCTTTTTTTTTTTTTTTTTTTTTTTTTTACAGTTGCCTTTTTTCCAATGTGGAGATACTTAGTTTTGTAGGTCTTTTGCTTAGACTTTATCTTCTCATGTTCAAGTGACCTTCCAATGTGTCAGTAAGTGTGCTTATACTTAGGATGTGCTCTTTAAATATTTGACTTGAAAGTGACCTAAATATCAGTGCCTGAGTCATTCTTTGAAAAAATGGCACACAATAATAAAGCACAATGTTTTCTCTGTGGTTTCATTTTTGATCGGAGAAAAAAAAAAAAAAAAGGAATCTAAACCTCCCATACGCAGCTGGTTTAGAAAGAAAGACCTAATTATTTCAGGTCATGTCACTAATGAATTTGACATTTCATGCTATATTTTCAAAAGGCAACTTTTTCCACTAGTGATAGACAGTTTAACATAGGAACATTTGGGAGCTTAGAACATTAAGAGTGCTTTTACATCCTTATCCTCCTGTAAGAGCAGTGTTATATTTGATTAGCCATCCTAGCTCAATTTGTCTGAAAAGTTAGGAATTTCTAGGATGACCTTAGAATTCTCTGCTTTTTTTATTGAGAAACAGAGACAGAAACTTCTGTAGCACAGGTAGACTCTTTTGTCTTACTCATTATTCGAACTGGAGGCAGCAGGACTGATAAGAGTTCTTGTTTTGACCATACTCTGTTGTTTCTAAACACTTGTGGCTGGGTACCAGAAAGAACAGCTTTCTCCCAGGGGCTGCACTTGAGAAAGATGGGATCACAAAGAAAAGATGATATTTTGGGGGAAGAGATTTTATGCAGCACGTGGAAGGAGCAGGCTGTAGAGAGTGAAAGCTGTGGCTTGGCAGCGTGCAAACATCAAAGAGACAGAGAAAGACAGAGATTTCTCAAAAAGTAGGAAACAAACACCTGCTCTCAGAGATAATGTAAGGAATATATTCATAAGGACTCAGAGGTTACCCTGCAGGAAATAAAAGTTAGTTATCGGAATCAGAAACCCTGAAGGAGGGTGCTCACTCTTTGGGAGTTTTGGAGTATCTGCTTTAAGGAGGGCCCCAAATGATTCTGGCATCCTCTTACACTGTTAACTTGCTTGTGTGTCAGTTGTTCATCACTTAATCATCAAGTGCTTTGGATTTAATTAACCAGATCAAACATTTTGCAACTATGAGTTGTTTTCCTATAACATGTTCAGTCTGGATAACTTGTTACTACTGGAAACTGGAGCCTGGCTAACTATTCTAAACAAGCTCTTCTTAGAGAAAACTAGTTATTGGCAGATTATTCTTCCACTCTTTTGTTTAGGTCACACCTTTGTCCTTCAAGTAGATTGCCAACAGAGCACTCAGGAGACTCCTAAGTTATTGAAACCAGTTTACCAAAAATTGATGGGAGACTATTTTAAGCACACCTCTGTGTCCTGCATATGAATGCTATGCGAAACAGTAGAAACTACTTTTTATTACAGCTCAGCGCTATTTCTCCCAGCTCCAATCAGTCTGGAAGGCACCTTTATCCCATCGCCACTGTCCTGACTTTACTCATGAATTCTATAAAATCTTTTATAACTCTATGCTCTGAATTCCAGCATGTAGATTGTCCACTCATCTTACCAGGTTTCCTCCTAGTTAGCCCAGCTAATGTCTATTGTTATTCAGTGGAACTTGCTGGAGAGCTTTGTTTGTCTATATGCTTCTGGTCCTGGGTCAAAATGCTTCTGGAGGATTCCACATATACAAATACAATTTATTGTAGTTTTGTTCAGCCTTCACAAATTTTAATAAAAGAAAGACAAAATGTGTATTTCTTACATATTAGGTTCTTGCATTTTTAGTCATTTTCAGGCAAGACGCTTTTAGATAAACATGGGCATGTAGATAAAAATGCCCATATATTTTTTTAATAAATGAGATTAAACTTGTTCAAGTGTTCCAAATAGACAAGCTTAATTAAAAAAAAAAAAAGTGTACATATATATATATATATTTATTTATATGAGTATTTCTAATGGTAACCAGCTTGTTTCACAAAGCATATAGTATCTGCATCCAGTTAAATTAACTGATAACTCCTCACTGCATTCTTAGCACAATAGGAACTACTGGATCTCATTTTTTCCAAAGTCACTGTAGAGAAAATGAGAATAATGGGTTTTTTTAGTTCCTAATCTAGAATGGGTTAGTAACTGAATTAACTGATTAGATAGAGCTAAAGTAATAAACATATATTTTTTTAACCAGGGTGAAATAGCATTTGAACTACAGCAATATGATTTCATTGCAGTGGCAGATGACTTCTCTCAGAACTTCAACTTCAAAATGCATTCTATTTTGTTTGTTTTGGGGGAGTCATTCATCTTCTTTGTCTTAAATAAGTTTGATTGTAATGCTGAAGTAAAATGGAAACCTTTTATCTTTTAAAAGCGATTTTTTAATACATTCTGAAATTTTGCAAGAGTAATAAAAGCTAGAAAATTACACATGCTAAAAATGAACTTGCACACTCTGCAGGAACAATGAAATATGTTCTATAATGGCTAAGGTATCTATTGCTTACTAATATTTCTCATAAACATTTCTTTAGTTCATAAAGTGGCCTTAGAGAGCAATTGGATTAGTGTAGCTGAGAGTTTTAATAAAGACTTGTTTTCATGAATGTTGCTGTAATTGTAACCTTTCTAGGGAGAGAGAGGATAGAGAAAGTGATAATGTTGGTTAACTATTACTGCACAGAAGGGAAATGTTAATGTTCCCTGCATTGGTTTGTTTTTATACTGCAAATCAGTACAAAATCAGTCACTGTCTGCATTAAATAAATAATGGTAACAAATGGCTTTGCAAGAAGTGTATGCTGCACATCTCTGTGCATCTGTGCTTGTACATGATACTCACACAGTGAAAAAAAGGGACTGGAACTATTTCCAGTAAATTGTTTAATCTATGTTAATCTAAAATCACTCCTACTTGAGAGGCGGTTGTAGTCCGGTACTCGGGAAATCATTTTGACAACTGATCTTACAAGCTTTGTGTTTACATCTTTAAGCTTTTTTAAAGTCCTCTATTTAAAATATGAGGGAGCTAAGTATGTGCTTGAATTATGTTTTTCTAAGCCTGGGTTTTAGGCAAATATGAAGTATGTTTCTAACAGCAATAAGCACAGTCAAGATTATAGAATTACAATTATGTGGGGTTTATCTTTGAAATCCAACCTTAACTTGTGCACACGAAATGAAATGCTGAAATGTGATGTGAGAAGTACTTTTTTTATTTTCTGATAATACTGTCTTTGTATGTTTTTCTCTTTTCTCCACAAACCAATATGTCATAGTTCCAACCCATCAATTTTTATAGGCCACGATTTTTGGTGCAGTGAAGCTTTATTTTTATGGCTGAAACTGTGGTCTTTCGGTAAGAAAGGGAAATAGTCCAGCATATTTGTACACTAGGGATAATAGTTTGAGTTCTTTTCACCTTGTGATCTGAAAATGGAACTGAAAAGATTATACTCAGTGGTATAGTTGACAGATGTCAAAGGTGATCCATTCACTATTAGATTCTCAGGCTTCCATGGCTTTGCAAGCATGACCCAAGGAGATATTACGACTGCTTCAGTGAACTCCTAAGACGCCAGCTTTTAATTGTGCCACAAAGAAAAGATAAACATTTTCATGTAATACTTAAATAAAAGATTTGCGATAGTTTAAAGATTTGTCAAAATGGCAGTGTGATTGTCAATGGCAAGAACAATAGGTCACTCCTGCTGTGTTTGTCTAGTGACCTTTCAGATGGCTGGAGCAGTGCAATCCATACCAATCCATAATATCCATCAGCACTAAGCTTCAGAATGAATTGACAGCTTCAGTGGAGAAAATTGCCCAGCAAATCCTCCACTGTGCTGCTTCAGCACTTTATTATGCTGAGAAACCAATCAAATTGGGTGATTTACTTTGTTTACTCTTTTCTCCTTCAAAAAATTGATATTCAGCCACTGTAGGATTTGTGTGAGAGAGGTTTGTTTCTTTGTCAGAATTACTGCTATGAACTGTTTCTACTAATCTCTGAAATAATCCTATAAAATGAAATTATCTGAAGGAAGTTATTTTCACTTGCATGCTGCTTCAGCCATAGCTATAAAATACCTCCCTGTTATAGTGGGAATATATCAGTGGGAACTCTCCAATCACAGAAGTCTCAGACTAAAGAACTCCTCCTCTTTTTTGAACTTCAAGGATGGAAAATTTTTGTTTAACACGAAAAGATGCCAATACTCTCATTTGTCTGGCAGGATATGCTCTGAGATGTGGACCAAAATCCCACAGTCAAAATATTTAAACACCGCTTAGACTTCTGAATCCCCTGTGAGGCAATCCAAAGCCTGACTATCCAGAACATGTAGTTCTTACCATTTACAACAAAACGAAGTGCAAGCTGCTGCTTGCTCAGCAGTGTAAACAGTGAAGCTGGTGTGCAGTTTCAAAACTAGTGGCTAGACTTCAACGCACTAAGGGAAGTTCTAGTTACAGAGAGAAAGTTCATTTCTTTTCACTGCTTAATCATGGTATTTTGGTCTTCAAATGCACAGGAACCTGTCTTATTTTGTGATTTATTTGTAATGTGTGTGCTGTAAGGCATGGGTTGAATGGCATCTCCTATGAGAAGAGAATGAGGGCTCTTTCTAGTTTAGAGAAAAGAGGGTTTAGAGATAACCTAGTTGATTTCTGCTTTTGCATGAGGAGGGAAAGCAGAGGGCTCTTCTGGTAACCAGTGACAGGACTTGTGGGAACAGCAAAAGCTGCACCAGTAGAGGCTCAGACTGGACATCACAAAAATGTCTT